ACTACGCCAACTACTCCAGCGACGTCGAAGCCAACAACTGGTGGCGACTCGGGCGGAGTGGAGCTCACCGAAGAGAAGAAGAGCTCCTCGCAGGCGCCGACCGCGCAGGCAGAGCTCTTCGACGAGACGGCGATCACGGTGCAGACCGAGCTGCACGACACGAAGATCGCCGAACTGATCGACAAGGCGACGCCGACCGAGCCGACCCAGCTGGCCGACGTGAAGCAGAATGGCATCCAGGCGGAGAGAGACGACAGCAAAGATGAGAAGCACGACATCACAGAGGCTGGCATCCAGGAGAAGATGGATACCACCATCAAGGGGGACGGTGACACTACGGGCGACACGCCGTCGTCGGCGTTGCCAGCCGAGTCGCCGCTGTCCGACCTTGAGTTGCAGAAGCTCTTGGCGAAGCCAGTCACGCCGCCAAGTAGCGGCGCTTGGAAGGAGTTGCAGTCACAGTTGAAAGCAGTTCGGAAGAGGCCAGCGGGCGCTAACATGAACATGAAACGGCCAGCCTCTGCTGCTGAAGCTCAGGAGGCAGCTGGTCCGTCAACTGAGGAGGTCAGCTCAGGAGGCGTCAATGCACCCGTTCCCGAGGAGGTTGACCCTGCGAAGATGTCGCCAAAAGAATGGTCGAAGTTCTTGAACCGTGAGCACAGCAAGGTCTACTGCAGGACGATCGCCACTCTCAAGAAAACCAGCACCTCGCATGACCGTGTCCTGCAGGCCGCTCAGGGTGCGGCCAGGGCCAGGACAGATGAGCTTCGCACCCAGTACCAGCGTCCTGCGAAGCGGGCCAAGCAGTAGGCGCCCCACGGCGTGGGCAACAGTTGTGAGCGTGTGCTTCGACACGCTGGGGGCCCATGCAATGCGCTTTATATTGCACAATCACTTCTGTGCTGGCGCGTCGAAGCATGGGACACCTTTTCGAGCTCTTTCGAGCAAGAGCCTCACGCTCCGTCCTCATCCCCCTCGTCCACTTCCTCAACCTCGCCATCCTTCTCAGCCTGGCAATCCTTAGCATCGCCCTGTTCATCACCACCGCCACCCATTGTTATGGTCATCATCTTCATAATCCCACTTGTCATGCTCATCATCGCACCCGTCGGCATCCAGCATGTGTATCGTCATCCACGCCATCGCCATCTTCAACGTCATCCCACCATAGCAGCTTTGGACCAAACAGTTTTTAGGAGCAGAGCGCGACGACATTTCCATGTCATCAGATCTCGAGCGCGAGTGGCAAATGCAGCAGGAGGATTCCGCCCAGATGCAGAGAGAGGTTGACAGCCCGATTGCGGTTCAGAGCGATTCAAGCCACGAAGCTCCAGCTCTCCCGATTGACGGCGGCGAGGGCGTCGAGACCGTGGGCGTACAGGACCGTTGGGGTCCACTTGCCGACACCAGCAGGTGGGACAGCTTCCGCGCGGTCAAGGTGGATGACGAGAGCAAGAAGATGATGTACCTCCTCGGCGTTTGGGCGCAGAGCAAGACATTGGACACTAAGTACACGTCTTCCTTGCTTGAGGAGGTGGGCTCGCTGTCAAACGACATGGCGTGCGCCTACAGCCTCTTCCAGATGCATGTCCCTGCAGGGCCAGCCCCCGAGGATTCGTTCCAGCTCGAGCACTTCATCCGCGACACGTTGGAACCGCTGGCCGTTCGGTTCCACGAGCTCAAGGCGGTCATCGACAACCTGCTGCGCTCTCCCGAGAAGAAGCTGCGCCGCACCGCGTCGGACCCCGTTCAGCCTGATGAAGCTCTCGCCGCCGCCAGTTCGAGCGCACAGGAGGCAGAGTCGGTGTCCGAGTCGCAGGAGTTAGCGGAGCAGGCTCAGGACTCACAGCAGTTGCATGAAGAGTCTCAGCGGTAAGTCTTCCAGCCAAGCCCGAAGGCATGACGAGCGGTGCGAAGGCGCCGCCTCGCCTTTAGAAAACGCTGTTGTCAAATGAGTCTGGCTGAGTTCCGTGCGCAAGAGCCAGGGGCACCCAAATCATCGCATCATCATCATCAAGTTTCCCCTCACTGGTTGCCAAGACTTAGTTAGGAGATAATCGCAAAGCGTGCGACGCAATAACCAGCGTGGGCCCCAACCAGTAGGCAATAACCAGCGTAGGCCCCAAACAGTAGGCAATAACCAGCGTGGGCCCCAAACAGTAGGCGTGGGCGCAGTTGCGTCTAACCAAAACATTCGTCCTCCTTCGCTCATCGCGGGAATCGCCAGCGCAATAGCTACCATCACCATCGCAATGCCATCATCGTCAACCTCATCAGCATCACAGCCACCATGGTCAGAACCATCACTGCAACTAACCGCATCAACATGATCAGTCCATGTAGCAGCATCACTATAGAGACCAATGTCACACCATCAGTCAAGCGTATACCAACATCATCGCCATCATCAGCATCAGCATCATCATCATCAGCATCATCCTCATCCTCATCCTCATCACCATCATCATCATCATCACCATCATCATCAGCATCAACATCACCATCATCATCAACATCATCATCATCATCACGCTGCTGTTTTGGCCCCGTCCAGCTGGAGGCACGTGGGTACCTCGAGCGCTGTACATTCACGCGGGGATGGCGCCTACGAGTGACCGCAAGCCCAAGAGACGCAGCACCAACAAGCGTAAGTTCGTGCAGGCGATCTCCAAGAAGATGAAGCTCGATTTCAAAACGACTCTCGAGTTCGTGAACACCTACTCAGATCAGGTGCTGACTGACATCCGCGAGACGGGCGCGGGTTTGATCCCAAATATCGGCTCGGTCGGGTACAATCTACGCGTGCCCAAGTCGCGCGTGGACAAGATGGATGCCCTCACGCTGGCGAATGGCGGCTCGACGGGCAACTTCAAGAAGACCTACCTCAAGCTCGCATTCAAGCAGGCGGTGCGCGAGGAGCACGAGAAGATCGTCGACCAGAATACCTGGAACAAGCTGAGTCCCTGCCCGTCGGTCGACACGGAGCCGATTGACCAGGCGGCCCCAGCCAAGGAGACTGCGCCCATGATAGCGTTGGCATCGTCATAGGTCCTAGGCGAATGCTAAAGTCAAGCTTCACGGCGCGCCCACGGGCACGGGGCGCTGAGCACGATAGCACAAGTTTAGTTATGGCAGGGATCCGACACTGCACGGACAGTTCCATTCGGCAGCGACCGTGGTGAGACAAGAAAACACCACCAACCATCATCAAGCATCATTCATCGGGCGTTGAACTGATGTTCCAATAACTGCAACAGAAATGGCACCAACGAAATGGCATCATCATGTTGCTTGATAACATCCGCAATCGGACCCTGAACCGTTGTTCCAGTAATTGCAGCATCAGTGACTCCAGCCAAAAGGCATCATCCCCTTGCTCGTTCCAGGGGGGCTTCATTTGACATATTATGCAAGGTGACTCCCAAGACGGTAAGATGGCCCACGATAGCAACCATGAGCCCATATGAGCCCCACGAGCCTATCCTATGAGCCCACATGAGCCCCATGAACCCTGCGAGCCCTACGAGCCCTATGAGCCCTACGGGCCCTATGACCACAACTCTACAGACCCGATTAAGCCTACAGGCCCTAACCCTACAGACACTACTAACACTACAACCCTACAGACTCTATACATACAGACCCTAACCCTACAGAGCCTAGCATGCAAACCCTAACCCTACAGACCCTAACCTTACATACACTAACCCTACAGGCCATACTAATCCTACAAACTCCAACCCTACAAGCCTAAACTGGTACAGACCCTAACCCTACAGGCACTACCTCATACAGACCCTATTCACCCTACATACCCATAACCCTACAGACCCTGGCCTATATGCCCTACTAACTACAGGCCCTACTAACCCTACAGACTCTGACCCTACACACCCTAAACCTACAGACCCTAATCTTACAGACCCCACTAGCCCTACAAACTCTAATCCTTCGGATCCGAAACCCACAGACCGTAACCCTACATACTCTGACCCTACAGACCCTAACCCTACAGGCCCTACTAAGCCTGCAGACCCTAACCCTGCTTTGGGCTTCTTGGGGACAGATTAGGCGTTCACCATCACCGTCATCGACATCATCACCATCAGCGTCATCGCCATCGTCACCGTCGCCGTCCCCGTGGGGCCCCACCTGGCTTTCGGGGCTCCTGCCTTGTTGGGCCCTGAGCGCCCCGCTTTGGGCCCCGCCGTCAAGGCGCCTCCCTTGGGACCCCGCCTTGGGCCCCCTCTCATGTCATCGCCATCGTCACCGTCGCCGTCCCCGTGGGGCCCCACTTGGCTTTCGTGGCTCCTGCCTTGTTGGACCCTGAGCTCCCCGCCTTGGGCCCCGCCCATCAAGGCGCCTCCCTTTGGGACCCCCCTTGGGCCCCCTAGCCGCCGCTGGCCTCCCTCGGGAAGCCGCCCCGCCAAAAAAACATAAAAAAACCGGAAAAACAGACTGTTTTTTGTCTGTTTCTATGTTGTCTAGGTAGCCCAGGGGACGGTAGCCGGCACAAAGCCGGAAAAAAAACACTCTGTTTTTTGTCTGTTTTTTTCTGTCAATTTTGCACACTAAGGTTTAGGGATTTGGGCCTCGGTCGAGCGGGCCCCCCAAGCGGGCCCCCATGGGGCCCCTCGGACACGGCCCTTGGGCGGCTCGGCGAAGTCAGCGCCACGCAACATCGTTGGACGCTGTCGCCATTTGGGTTCACGACCAGGTCGCCTCGGCGAGTTTCGCCGCCCTGTTGCAGCGGTCCCGACAACGCTCCTGCTTGGGACATGGCGCCCAAGAAGCGGACCCTCGAGGTGCCGACGGTCACTCCAGAGGAGCTCGAGAAGGCGAAGGCACTGCTGAGGGACGCCGACGAGGCGAAGCGGGCTCGCTAGTCAATGACGTATTTTCTCGAGTCGCAGGGGCAGAAGCGCAAGTACGACGGGTGGCCCGTTGCCAAACGCAGGGAGTTCTTCCAGGCTTTCTTCGCGGATAAGCTCGCGAAGGGAGGTACTTCGAAGACCACCAAGTCGAGCATCCTGAGTACGAAGAACAAGAACACGACTGTGTGGTGGAGCCTTTCGAAGATGATCGCAGAGTTCGGCGAGCAGAAGGCCAAGGAGAAGGCCGAGTTGTTCGACAAGGATGAGAAGATGCATCGCCCCGACAAGGATACAGGCAAGGACGGGCAATGGAGCAGGGAGTACCGCATCGTCCTGGACAGCCACGAAGAGGGCGACGAGGAGCTAGACATTCAGGAGGTCAACGCCGAGGAGAGCCTCGACACCGTGGAGACGCAGAAGGAGGCGGTGGACACCCTCAGGGACATGCAGTCGTGCAATGGCGCGGGCTCGTCGGCTTCTGGCACTGACGCCCCGCTGGCGAAAGTGAAGGAGGAGCCCGCGGAGAAGCCTGAAGCGAAGCCCGAGGAGAGCGCAACCTTCAAGGCCCTGCAGACCGAGGGGAGGAAGGTCGTGTGGAACGTCGGGAAGGCGCTGACCCAGGCAAAGCATATGTTCCTGGCGACCAAGGGCGGGAAGTTTGTCGGCGAGCTCAACAAGGAGATCGGCCTGAACGTCAAGCAGCTCACGGAGGTCTTCAAGCTGGCCGAGGACAGCGTGTTGGAGGATAGAGAGAAAGCAGAACTCTTGGCGGTGAGCGTGAAGATCGACGAAGCCTTCGATGCACTGAACGAGAACGTCGAGTGGTTCAACAAGTTTTTTGCAAAGGAGGGCCAGCAGAGGAAGGTGAAGCAAGTCTGATGAGATGGCTGCCTGGCTTTTTGTTTCTTTTGGAGGGCAGCTCGAGCGCACAGGTTGGCCGTTCAGGCTCACTGGAAGCTCGGAGGAGTGCTGGCCCCCCGACGTGCGTGGCATTGGGGCAAGATGTGGACGTCGGCTGCGCCAGAGGGCACTCACTGGGCACTTGGCGCTGGGCATCGCAAGTTTGGCGGCAGCGACAGCCGCTAGCATGATGTCATACAGCTCGAGAATGCCAAAGAACAAGAAAACATCATCACCACCAACACCATTGACATCACCATGCTCATCATCGACATCAGCATTGACACCCTCACCATTACCACCTCATCGGAACGCCACGGCAAGACCGCATCAGCACTGTCATCGGCGTCAGCGCCGCCATCATCATAGCTAGCATGATGTCCAACATGTTGGGTGTGCCAGGACAACAGATAACCAAATAACATCGACACCATCACCAACGTAAACATCATTGCCAACATCATCAGCATCCACAGCATCGACATCTTACGCGCAATACAATCAACCTCATCCGCATCAGCATCAGCATCACCGTCATCAACATGTCGGCACGCCCCTCACACGCTGCGCGCCCCATGGGGAGCTCCACCGAAGGGATCTCCCGCGGGGGCAAATGTCCATATCGAGAGAACCTTTAAGACTCATAGCGGAAGTGGACCCCCACGGTGAAAGCACCGATTGGGACAGACATGTTGACCTGGAGCCCAATGCGGAGCAAAGTGATGCGGCCTCCTGCATTCCTCCTTCCACCGACGGATCCCGTGGCCCTCCTCGCCCTGCCCTCCTCCGCCTTCCTCCTGCAGCCGTTTTGGCTCAAACTCGGGCGCCAACGTCGTTGGTGCGTCCTTTAGTTTAGATGCAGCTGCCACTACTCATCTTGTGTGTTTTCATGCCGCCACAGGGCGCAGGCCTCCGCCAGAGATTGGAATCTCGGCCATGCCCGCAGCGGGCAGAGGCCCGCCGTCCCGAGGCGCCTCGAGGAATTCGACACCGCCTCGCGCCCGAGCGGCGCGACGCCGCGGCCAGCGGAGCTGCGCAGGCCGTGCACGGGGGCATCAAGCGCCGCATGGATACCGCAGAACACGACGAGATCGAAGAGACGCCGTTCAACGACCTCTTGCGGAGGAGATGGGCCAAGGGAACCCTCAGCAGCCCCGACGTCATCCAGTTCGCGAAGGCCGCAGCCGCTCAGGGAGCGCAGCATGTCGGCGCCTACGCTGGCCGCTCCAACCTGCAGGCCAAGCACGCGTTCAGAGAAGTATGCCGTGCCATTGGCACGCCAATTGGAGCTCCGAGGATAAGCTGGGTTGAGTTGAAGAGCAGCAACGGCGACGTGACTTTCCACCCGTTCGTCGACCCGATCGACACTCTGGAGGCATGGCACGCGAAGGGGCCCCTGGCGTTCGCACAGCGCCTCGCTGGCGAAGACGGCGAGACCGCCAAGTTCTGGCATGGCCTTCGGGACCACGTGACCTACAAGTCCAACGCTTCGCGCATCTCGTCCACCACGATACCTTTGGGTTTCCACGGGGATGGCGCCCCGACGACAAAATCAGAAGGTCTGTTCACGCTGCAGTTCAACGGTTTGCTGGGCCATGGCAGCACGGTTTCTACGAGAGACGTCATTACTGTGTTCAAGAAATCTGAGCTCGACGTAGACATGTTTGAACAGCTGGTGGACCGACTTGCATGGAGTTTCAACGCGTTGCTCACTGGGGTGATGCCAGATGTTCAACACAATGGCTTGCCACACCCCGAAGCTGGTAGAAAACTGTGCAGTGGGCGAACGTTCGCCGCAATTCAAATGCGAGGCGATTGGGAATACTATGCTGACTTCTTGTATCTCAACAGGTGGAACAACGCAGAGTGCTGTTACTTGTGCGGCGCTACCCTCGGCGACGGCAGCATGTGCTACACTCGCGCTGATATGGCCGCTGGTTGGAGAGCCACAATGGCCACGCACAACAGCCACCTCCTGAGATGCGTGCGCGGCGATGTGAGACTCAGCAGCTTCTTCAAAATCAAGTCATTCAGATTTGAAGGCATCATGGTGGACGTTCTTCACTCGCTGGACCTCGGCGTGGCGTGCCATCTCATAGCAAACGTGTTCGTGGAGATACTGCAGCTTGGGCAGTGGGGGGCTAGCAGGGGGTCCCAGATGAAGGGGCTCCAGGCCGACATCGCGCACTGGTACAAGACCCACGTGGACGCGCACAAGCTGCAGGGCAAGCTGATCTTCACCAGGCTTCGCACCCAGGCCGATTGGCCGAAGCTGAAGGCCCCGTGGTAGAAATAGTGCATACCTCCTCCAGCCTCTCCTCATGCTCCAATCCCTTCCCCTCCTCATCCGCACCCTCCCCCAGCAACCCCATCCACCGCCCATCGCGCTCCCCGCCCAGGGAAGCGGGGGAAGGGCGATGCGTGCAAGGGGCGAGGGAGTGGCATATACACATGGATGCACATACACATACACGTGCATGTAGAGGTGCATAAATCCACGCGCAAATCATGTATACATATACATATGTGGGTTATACAGGTGTACTTACAAATATGCATATGTAGATACATATGCATGCTTGCTTCATGGTATGACCATCTGCATACATATGTGTCTGCATACAAATATACAAATGTATGTGCGTGTGCGCACTTGTATGTACATGCACACATATGCTCTCACGTGTGCACATATAGCTATGGATATGTCATCATACCTACAGTTACACACAAATTTCTACTATGTATAGTTACATAACTGTGTACGTATGTATGGTTGTATACATGTATGCTTGTTTGTGCGTGCGTATGTATGTATCATACATACATATACGTTTTGAGCGGGCGCTGGTAGATGTATATTTGTGTAGACTTCACATGTGCGTAAGAATATCCCAGCGCCCCAGGCAAAAGCGGCCGCCAGCCGGTGTCTCGTGCCGTACGCGGCGTCCCTGGCACGTCGTTTCAACTCGGGTTCAGACCACGATCGGTTGCGACTTGGCGCGTGTGATCTGCTCTCCCGCGTCTATCAGTTGATGTATGATAACGGCAGATTCTTCCCTGTCTCAGTCAAAGACGAATTGGCGCAGCTGGCCCGCGCATTCATTAATGCATATAGCCAGCTCTCTGCGGAAGCCATTGCATCTAGGAAAAGAGCCTGGAAAATGACACCTAAGTTCCATACATTTGTTCACCTGGCCGAACACCAGAGTTTCATGAACCCTCGTTTCTATTGGACCTACAGCGACGAGGACTTGCAGCGACTCATGAAAGAGATCGCAAGCAGCCTCCACTCAAGCCACTTGGCCCCAATGGTTATATTGAAGTGGCTTGTGCTCGCGTTTGAGTGTTGACTAGTGCTCCTGGTTTTGTTGAGGCGTGTTTGTGATGCAGGCAGGTGGCCACGTCAAGAAAATATTCCAGCTCGGGCCCTAAACTGTGGGTTGCGCCGCGCAAGTGGAACGCTGGGCTCGGCTCGAACTGCGTTTCGTTCTGTGTGTTAAGTTCATTATGCCGCCCGCGGGGCTCACTCGTCGCCACGGTTTGGTTTCGCTTTTCGAGGCATGCACCCTTGCGTCCTTGCCGCCTCATAAACATCAAAAGGAAAGAAAGGGGGCGGACGGAGGGGGGAGGAGAGGAAGAAGGTGGATGGAGAAGTGGCGTGGATAGGGGGAGGAATGATGCTCCTCTTTCCACGTCCTTATCCTTATCCTCGTCCCCCGCAGGCACGAGGATCGAGATTTCAGGAGAAAGGCCCCCCGCCCCTGTTCCTCATCCTTACCCTCGACCTCCATAGGCACGAGGATCGGATCTCAGGAGAACGGCCCCCCGCCCCTCGGGTTCCGACGTCGGCCCGAGTAGGGGGCTCACCCCCTCGGCAGCCGAGGCTTTGCTGGCGGACGGCGTCGACCCTAAATTGGTGGGGCGCTTGACCAGGCTGGGCGTGATGGAACGTCATCCCTCACCCTCTATCGTTTTCATTCCCCCTCCCGTGCCTCTCTCACTCTCTCCCTCTCTCTTCGCCCCTCTCTCCCCCCCGTTTTATATACCTATAGATATATACTGTTGGTGCGAACGCACATATATACATAGTCCTTATATATAGATGCGTGCGTACGTGTCTACAGTTACATGCGCACACATAGATACATACATACATACATAATCACAAATGCGTATGTTTTGCGTGTGAATGTTCAAAGTTAGTTGTACGTGTATGCGCATATACACGTGTCGATTCAATATGCGGATTGTATACTTATGTATGTCTGCATATCTAGATTGTATAATGTGTAACTACCTTTCCACCTGTGAACATGTATGCACATGCATTGGTACATGCATACAAACATGCATACATAAACATACAAATAAGGTGTGCATACACATATATATATGTGTTTATATACACATATACACACATATGTATATATGTATATAGATATAGATATAAATATAGATGTACATACAAATGCGTGTGAGAGATACAGAGAGAATCTACCTCTTTCGCCCTCCTCCTCCTCTTCCCCCCGCTCGCCCCCCCCCGCCTTCCCCGCCCCTCTCGCCTCGGCGCGCCCAGCCTGGTCAAGCGCCCCGCCGATTCAAGGCCGTTTGAGCAGCAGGCCAAGCAGCCGACGGAGAGCAGCAGCGCGGGCAGCACGACGGAGAGCAGCAGCACGAGCAGCAACGAAACGTGAGAGCAGAAACAGGCGGCGCTCGAGAAGGCGAAACGGCGCTCGAGAATTGAGGAAGGAGCTCGAGGAGGAGAGGGCCAAGGAGAAGAAGGAGAAGGAGAAGGAGAAGGAAGACAACCTCCGCGGCGCAGGCGGAAAACGGTTCTAAATTGCCTGGGTTCCATGGGGAGCATTCTGACCAGGATCTCGTGGCGAATCCAGCCGTGGCCGCGAAGGGCCAAGAAGCCCAAGAGCGACCAGCGACGACCGTCGAAGCAGCGCGTTCTGACCAGGATTTCGTGGCGGAGCCAGCCGAAGCGTCGACGGCGACGCCGAAATTTCTGAGCAAGGCGATTTAGACAGCTGCTCCCAAACCTCTTCTGATTCGGGGCAAGGCGCTCTGAATTGCGCGATCTCTTAAGCGGAATCCCTTTGGACCTCTCGGGCCCTCTGCGCGGCGAGCCGCCCTACTAGACACTAGAACGCCTTCGGCAGCTCTCCGCGATCCCAGGA